ATGACAACACAGCAAGATATCATTACGGATGTAGGCTAGTGCTCCACATCCAGGCCTCTGTTTCCAGACCTGGTGGACCCAAAGCCCCCCTTCTTTGACAGCAGCAGCAAGAGCTGGAAAAGCTCATGCATACCCACCCATTATTTGAATGTGTTCAAGAGAATAAGCTGCTCACCCTATACCTTCGCTCAGATTATAGGCCTAGAGCCCCAGCAGCCAAACAACTTTTGTAAACACCAGTATTTTTAAAAACAGGAAATGGTCCAAGGTCTATGTTTAGGTAGCATCTAGCTGGATAAAAAGATCTGAGATGTATTTGATCTCACTTTTGTCTCACACAACAAGGTTCTACAAAACCAGAATGAAATTTTATCTAGAGACAGATATCTGTGAACCTGATCTTTCTTTCTTAGCCCTTCCCAAAACCATATATTTAAGTAATGCCAAACAAATAACAGTATTGAAATCACCTATACAAAATATTATCTGTCCTAAAATTTTAAATTCTAAAGCAGTCTTGCACAATTGTGGTATCAACTGATGAATTCTAACACACGTTGCCCCAGTGCCTAAGTATCTCCTGTATCTCTAACTGTATGCAAACATCAAGGCTTACGGCCAGAGGAGCATTTTTAAGAAGCTGTTTCAGTTTTCAAACCTTCTTAGTCGAAGACTGCAAATGCTTTAGGTCAGTGTTCATAACACATGGACAGTACCTAAATCCAGTGAGACCTGGATCTCTCAATATCTATATACACCTCTGCAACACAAATCATCACTAAAATTACTTTAATATAAAAATGGCATCTTTCTGATTCATTTTATATGCCACTAGCATATATTTTACCATGTTTGAAAGCATGCAATTAGACACGCATCTTACAAACATAAACAAACACCTCCCATCCACCCCCCAAGCGTCTAAAAAAGCCCAGATTTGTTTAGACAAGGGGTTGATAATCCAGTTTGAACACAGGTATCTGAATGCTGTGACAGCTCCTTCATAATGCTAAGCTTATGGTACATTAAACTTTAAAGCAAGATAAACTCCTGCTTTCATTTTATCAAACATCTTCCCAGACAGCAAAAAGAAAGACACAAAGCAATGTTTTCAGCTACAACCAAGCACGGGAGACCCAACTCAGCATATGTTTGGGATGAAAATGAACAATGCTTTGCACAGCTATACTACTGTATTTTTTGCTAGAGAATATCACTGTGATTTGCAAACGTGAAACCTCATATTCCTCCCTTAAACATAGTATTTACTTTTATTTCACACCTGAAAGAAACTGAGATTCACAGAGATTAAGTGAACAGAGACAGCAGTCTTTGGAACTGAGGAAGAAAGCGCTCTTGAGAACAACTATTCTGATGAGGAGCACAGGGTGGGGGGGGGGGGGGGGGAGGGAAAAAGATGAGATATTTTCAAGAGTGCTCAGTGTTGTGCCACTGATATTATTGGACTTTATATACTTCATTCCTTTGCACAATGACTTCATATACCAGATTATGCCTTTTTGTGGGTAAAGCAGTAAGAATTTCATTGTCTATCACAACAGGAGTGGTATAGCGACATCCATCTAAGAATCCACAACATGAGGCTGGCAGGAGGAGACTTTTTTTGACCTACTGACAGCAGGTAGAAAGCACGGGGAGAGAAGTGGACAACCAAGTCCTTCTTCAGATCTGGAAGGATAACAAACAGCAGGCTTAAATACATTAGTTAAATTAACAGTTTATGGAAAAAGTAATTTCAAATGTGCTTTTTCTGTTTCAAATCTGAAGAGACTGCGTGCCCAAAAGCTCCTCTGTTCTCTCCACTCCCCCCACTAAATCAGCTGACTTAAAAGGTATTACCTCTCCCTATAGCTGACTTAAGGCCATGTAGGTTGCTTGCGAAGGACAAAAATATTAAGGGATTATAGTTGCTGAATTTTCCACTCACTTAAAATGGACAATACACTGCAAACACACCCTCATATTACATTGATAAAAATATATGAGAAATAAGAGGTGTGCTATTAGAGGATTTGTTACCAAAAAAAAAAAAATTATCTTCATTGTACCACAAAAAACAGGCTAAAGAACAACCAAATCATCCAAGTCTCCCCCTAAGACCTGTAACTTCTTTAGAAGTTTATTTTTATGCAGCTACAGCCTTGCCTTTCCTCTCCTTTCCAATCAGCCCTCACTTCTCTCCCTGTTTCATATGACCTCACCTTACCCAGAAATACAAAGAGATTGGTCTTATCACAACTTAGCAAGATACCACCTGTCAGCTGAACTGTGATAAATCACAGCTGCCTTCACAATACACACACTAACAGCTACTGAGGCTTAGTCGATGGGCGGTAACTCAAGGGGGTCATTTAAACCACAGAGTATCCCCATCCACAAAGATCACGCTAAGGAAATAAGTCAACTAACATGACAGTTGCCATCACCATGTTACTATTTTAGCATGCATTAGACCTATTGACTCTTCTCTCTAACTGCCATTGCCTTTTGTTTGGATCGCAAGCTTTAGATCGTAAAACAAACTGCTGGTTCTTTGCACTCACTCAAGTTGACAGAATATGACCCCGATCTAGATCAATCATAAGCCACGATCATACCTAAATTTTAACAGCAAATATTCATTCCTCTCTTCCCCTACAACTGCCCTTCTGAGAAGATGTAACGCTCTGGCAGAAATAAAGCTTGAGAAAAGAAGAATTCAGAAGTTATTAAAAAATGAGAAAAAGGCTTAGAATGGTAGCATCCAAGGAACTTGAACAGTTACTGCTTTATTATACTCCTGCCATACATAACGCTTGTGTTTTCTAACTCTTAGAAGAGGCGCACAGTGGGGTATGCAACGTGATTGCAACAAAACACATTTTTCTCAAATTAGGGACCTGCATTTCTATTAGCAACCTTTTATGTACTGTTTAAATAACTCCTTGCACCCACTGTTCCAGCCATGAATGAAGGAGGCTGTCTGTGTGTTTGCACTGGTTTTTGTTCATCTGTTTAAACACAGAGCTCTGCTATAAAAACCTTATAAAAAACAACGGCAACAACCACACTTTCTGCAGCAGATGTGCTTTAAGCCATTAACCTTATAGATTTAGTCTCTGCATTATACTGAAATAAATGAATCTAAATAGCTTAGTCCACTAGGCAAGCCTACCAGCATCCCAGAGATGTTGTCCAACGTGTTTTATTGCAAGTTTAAGAAACAACACCAGCCTCTCATTGGAACAGCAGCCTAAAGGCATCTATGTCTTTAACAAGCTATCCTAAAATCAACCTGTATCTGCACATACATAACTACTGCAGCACAGCAGTAGTTATACTAAGATGACTACTGTGACAGTAGTAACAGCCATTAAGTATGTAAGAGCACAAAACCACTTTCCCTTGTAAAACTCCAGCTTCCTTTACACGACGGCTTCACAAAACACTCACCTTTAGCCAAGGAACGAGAAACACTGGTTTCTCTCTACCGAAAGGTCATTCCCCAACTCAATTCTAAGGTGCCGAGAAACTCTAAATCGCACTTTTTGAAGCTTACATGGTAAGCATTCAGCTCAGCAGCTGACTACCCACAGTCAGGAACCCGGCTTAACTTTGACTTCATAGGGCTATTAAAGTTAGGCCTGTTTATGTTAAAACTGCTTCACTTCAACAGGAGCCTTCTTTTAATTTTAACTAAAAATGAGATTCTGGAAAAGCACATACCAGAGCATACAGTACATTTACACATCAGCTCTGTGTCTTCAGAGACCTGGGTGCGTTTTCACTTTTACTAAATGGAAGCAGCAAGCTTTTCCAGCAGTCTCCCAGCCATCAGGAGCTCACCAGCCCACATGCCACGTTTCTGAACTGTGGACATGCCTTTCTCTCCCTCGCTCTTTAAGGGGAGGAGAGATCTATAGGCCAGCACAGATTTACTGACAAATCTAGCGCTGCCAGTCCTTTTATAAGGATAGCTTAAAGTCAGTGGGACTTCCACCTTTGTGATAATTTCAGCCAGAGGTTTGGGCAGATCTCACCAAAAGCAGGCTCACCAACCTACTTGATATGGCAATGCACATCAAATATGGGTTTGACTTGACTGTTGAATCTCTGTAGACTCTCTCTCGACCTACAAGGAGGTCGAATAAAGCTCTGAAGAATCAAGAAACGCATGCAGAAGTGGTATTTTACACTACTACAATGACTGGTAAACTCATGGTTCCATCACTGTTTTCTTCTAGCTCAGCTCTGGGTTTTCCTCACGGGTGCTTTTTCTATCACTGTCCCCAAATCTTTTTTTGAGTATACAAACAAATAAAAAAACCAAAACAAACAAACAAACAGTGATTGACTGGAAGCCAGGATTTGAAGAGGTACTGAAGTAAAAAGGCGGTCAGAAAAGCATTCCCAATTCAGCTTATTTAATTCTGAAATATATTATCTGGATAAGGATTTTTTTTCCCTCCATTTCAGCACACTTCAAGGCAATGCCTACAGTGGTTATTATTAGGGTTGCTGCCATTCTGATTTGTACCCAGTACTCAGTGTGGAAAGAACAAGAGAGGAAATTCAAGTAACGGTTAAAGTGTCTGTAAACTTAAGCTGAGGAATCTGGCAAGAGACAAACGGGCTGCACAGTACAATAAGAGGTCCAGCAAGACTCTGCAACAAGTACTTAGTTTCTTTCTGCCAGCATCAATATTCCTGTAGCCTACAGAAATTAGTAAGAATCCAACAGTAATAAGTTCTTAGATTTTGAAGACAACCTTTGTTAATAGTTGGTTGGTAAAGCACTTTAGAGAAAATATTTCAAGGAGAGAATTCTCTAAAAAGCAACATGACTTTTTAGTAAGTATTTATTTCAACCTCTGCATCTAAACCGTTTACCCAAATATCTTCCTGCTTCACCTTAAGAATAAAAAGGACTTTATAGACATTGGGGGAACTTCAGCAGGCTGCACGTGACATACATCCCATATTATCAAGAATACACTTACCAGTACAGTAGAACCAGAAAGACCACTAGCAAAGCCAAGGTGACAGTTGTGCTATTCATTTCTGCGGAAGCAAAAACCAGGAGATCTCCAAGCTCCATTTTCCTCCACTACAGCTCCAGCCTCGAGTGGTTTGAGTGTGTGTGCAGGGGAAAGTCTCCTCAAGAGCTGATAAAGCCTTCCACAGCTACATGAATGACATCTGCAATGAAACAGGAACCAAGAGAACAAAAACACATCAAGTCAAGCACAAACTGCAAACCTTTCCTGTTCTCATCGACTGTACGCTCAGAAAGAGAACTTGAAGGCTTCCTGAGTGGTAGGATGTAGCAATTTTTCCCCCTCTGTTGTTGACTGTCATGTCAGTAAATATTTACACAGCCATTGCTTGAGACATCAGTGCTGCCCAATAGGTTTTTAGACGTAAGTGCGGGAGACTGGGGAAAACTGTGGGGAAAAAAATAAAAGAGGGGAAAAGAGCCTGACCACAGTACAGATCACGGAAGATGAAAATAAAACGACCCTCAGTAGTGCCTTGATGTACAAACAGTGGTATTCTGTGAAATAACAAAAATAGAGCATTTCTGCAATAGAAATTAGCAGTAAATTTCCAAACTGATTATACTCGAAAAGGATAGGACAAAGTCAATCTTAAATTATCCCAACTAAAAGGAGGGATTAGGGGAAAACTCATCTAATGTGACTATTAGAAAACAAATATAGGAAAAAAAAACCAAAGGGCAGGCAGTAAAACCTGACTGTAGCACTGGGATCTGTAAATCAGCATCAGTCACAACTCTTAATCTACACAAGCAGGATTGTTTGGCTATATCATGTCCGGTTCAGGAGTACTGAGCAAAATTTACTGGCTCAGTGCAGTGCCCCCTCTGGAGACACAATGCAGGGGCAGCCAAAAAGATTTCTAATATCAAGGATAGCACTAATACAGCCACACTGACTTATTCTGCACTATAGCATAGTCAAGCTATCACACTCCCTCAAACAATCTGCACATGAACACCCAAGCTTTGACTGCAGTTCAGGAAATGGGTTGTCCATAGCAGACAAATTCCTCAGGTTTCTTCCATATTTTTCTGCCTGCAAACCTCAGTCTTGTTTTGAGCATCTGATCCAGTCCAATTAGAGGGGTCAACCAGAAAGCAAACCTTGGAGCACTTCTGCGGTAGAAGATCATCAACCTGTTTCATATAAAGTTATTAAATGCTAGTAGCTGTAAATCTTCAGGACTACAACATGAACAGGAACAACTTGCAAGTAAACATCCTTAGCCACGATAAAACTCCCAGGAACCATCTGGTATCTTTTGTTATTACTGAAACCAGAAACACCCATATACATACCACACCTTTCCCACATATTCCAGAGAACCTATTTGAAAGTTAAGGAGATCAAAACTACCCAGAAAACTCGGTTTGTGAATTATATTGTAACCTTGAGAAACAGACGTTCTGCACATCCGATTCCCATAACACACCAGATGAAGAGTGGTTTCTTCTCATACAAGCCCTGCGATAATAGCTTAGATTTAATGTGCAAGGCTTCTCCAATATCACTGTATTACATTTCCTGCTCTTATCAGAGAAGTTAATAATATAGGTATCAAAAAAGGAAAGTCTCTAACACAATGGAGTTTAATTTTAAGAAGATTTGGCTCTCTCCTAACTGAATCGCTGCTATTGTGGTTCTCTGCACTTCACAACAGCATTAATTCCCTTCCAGCCCCAGATCCTTGCAGAATAAGTAAAAGGTGTTAACCAGCTCATCAGCTGCACAGAACAGCACAGTAGTTCCCAGAAAACCTTGCTTATTGCATTAGCAATGCTATTGCTATTCCAGGTCAATAACACCTCCGCCAGTTTGCTGCCGCCGCTGCCAAGCTCTCCAAGAACACCTGCAACAAGATTCAAGACCAGTGACGCAAGGGATCGATCAGTGGGCACAAGCCAATCCCAAGCAGCATCTAATCCTGTGGGACTTTAAGAAAAAATAAATCAAATATTCCATATGCATTAAAGACTTCAAAAAAACCACTCCTAATTCAGTTCAGCAAATAGAGAGTCAACTACAGACCTTGCTTAACTGTAGAAGTACACCAGAGCCTTTTCCCAGGCACACTGGGAGGTAGGTGGCAAGAACAGTTCTTAAACACACGCGCTATGAAGGGAAGTGGGCTTTCACACTGGCATCCGATCTGGAAGCAAACACATAATCAAGTATGTTCCCAACCACAACAAAATCACTTTGTTTTTGATGTTGGGGTTTTCGCTTTGTTTTGTTTTTTAAACCTCAGCACCTGTTTCTTGCTAAAGGGTTTTTACTTGGCATCTTTAACCACTCAGAAGGGTGGCACGCAGCATTAATTCTAAAACCCACCTGGAACATGCCTCACAACAAGCCTACGCACTTGTATTTATCATCACAAAGTGTTTCAGTTCCCTGAAGAGACACTGTCTCAGAAATTCATACAATACCTTGTGGGGAGGGGAAAAAAATTAAGGGAGGGGGAGAGGCAGAGATCAGAGAAGGAGACAGCAATAAAAATACGCTATTTACCAGTCCTACCTCCAGTGTTCCCTCTTTCTTTAGAGCTCATTTACATGAGAAACACCACCCTTATTAACTAGTTAATAGTACAGATATTTTCCATCAATCTCATAATTCTTGTTGTGGAGACACGCTGGTCAGGCTCATTACGTCAAGGGTATCAAACTACGAAGTCAGATATAAAGTCCTCACTAGCCACATGCCAGAGGAAGCCAAAGACAAGCAGAAGCTTAAGAGAGCCTTTTCTAGGCAGATTGCTGTGAGTCAGAGGCTCTAGCCGTGCTTGCTCTCCTAAGGCTTCTTTCCAGATCACATCTACCAGGCTTCACAGCTCCTTGATGTGGTACCACCTGGGCTCTCCCCTTCGGCAGCAGGGCGAACCTGCGGACCTCCACCTTGCTCTACACAAATCTACGCTCAGGATCTCATACCCCATCGCACGCCTCATCCCCCAGCACTGCCGCAACTGCAGTCTTGAAGCTCCCCAGCAAAAGGCAGGCCCACGACGCAGAAGCCGTTAAATCCTAAACGGCAGGAGATTCAGCTTCTCTGCACGTGTTTGCAGCAGTAAATATTAAAATGCAATAAAGTACTTCCCTTTTTAAGTATGAGAAGTTGAAGTGTTCCTCAAATGAAAAAGAAAAAGATCCACACAAACCAAATTTTCCAGGAAGCATTCATGCCTTAAAGCCTTGTTTGCTGTAACTGCGGGAATACTTTTTGCAAACGCACTTCCAACACAATGCATTTCGACTTCAGAACGAATACAAGTGTGGCAGTGAACCTCAGCAATGCTTGACATGCATAAGTGTCTTTAGGACATGAAAAACAGAGCTTATTTAATTTTTAAAAAGTATTACAGAACTTTTCAGTAGGCCTAAATCTTGTTATGGATTTTGACCTAAGTCTTCACAGCACATCAAATGGAAAATATAGTCTCATGCATTTCACAGAGATGTAACCTAATGACTAACCAGCTAGGCTAACCATGAACTCTTGCTAACAGCCTAATTCAGCTCCTCTCAAACTATTCCACTTGGTATGTTTTAGGTCTATAATAATCTAATTAAGAATGAGCCACCCCAACTTTACTATAAATGAAGGAACTCTATAAAAATGTTAAGATTTCAGTTTTAATTTCATAGCAGTTCCTCTCCATAAAAGTTTGGAGCATAGCCTTGAGATCAAGGAAATTCTGCTGTATAGACAGCTGGGCCACAAAATATTGCAACTAAAACGCCACAGAATGGCTTTCAGAAGAAGAAAACATGAGATTAATCAGAGACTGGTTTATACATAAGCTTTAACAAAGCCCATGTACAAACATGTATGAGCATATATGGTATTAATTTTATCTTAAAGACAAAAACCTTTCCAAATTCATTCCAAAATGAATCTTAACATCTTTAAGGTAGACCAATTGAAAAGATCAAGCATACATTTCACAAAAAGATTTTTATATTTAAAACAACCTTTATAACCAAAGTACTGAGATTAATAATGTATTAGTATGGAGGGATTTACAGCTGTCTTATATGACTTCATTATTACTCTTCCTGTTTAAGGATTGAGCAAACAGATTAATCAGGTGATTTTATACTCCTTTACGACAAGCTATGGCAAACTACGCAAAGGACAGACCACCAAGAAATCAGAGTCCACTTACAAAGATCCTGCCCTGCATTCAAAACAGGCAGGAACACTGAAGGGACACCATGGAGTGGTGCCAGACCTTTGAACCACCTTGGAGAAAGTCACACCAAGGAATTGTTTCTCCAAGAGTCAAACACTGTAACTGTGAAACCACGCTGTGGAAGCTGCTTTCCCGGCACTTCCTACTGAGGAACAGAAAGATAGACTTTCACATTGGAAATGTAGAACTTGGTTACATTAACCTAAATGCTTCCCAGAAAACAGGCAGCCAGCTTAAAATTTGAGAAAGGCTAAAACAGTATGCAAACTTGTACTTTGCTAACAAATTAAATCTTAGCTGATGAAGTTATGGTACTTCAAATTCAGTCAATATCACAGGGGCTAAAAAAACTTATTACGCTAACTAAATGTACTGCCACGGTACTAAGTCTTCTCTAAAGCAACAAGCTGTGAGATATCCTAGTTATTTCAAAGAACTCCACTTAGAAATAGCACAGATTTTGTGGTCAAAAGGAATAACAGTTTCTTCCTCTTGCTGTGAAAGTTCGGAATGAGTTTCTAAAATAAAGTTACCTTTGCTAATAGTGACATTAAGATCTTTCAGCCCTTGTGAAATTCCAGAGAAAGCAGAAATAAATGTAACATCTGCTGCTCATGCCCAGGCATTTCTAAGCGAACTGACATTATTAAATAATCAGTAACTTGTTTATATTTCTATAGCTCGCTTCAGAAACATTGATTGATTCAAGCAATCCTATAACTTCATTGTCCTATAAACCTGACTAGAGATAAGTAAGGATTTATGTTCAAGGATCAATAGTTCCATGTTGATAGCAAAACCCAAAAAATCCTGCCTAAACTGGTCTTATGCCAGAACAGAGCCATATAAATGTTTGTCTTTGAAA